CAATTATTGAAGAAAATTCATAAAGTGGAAATCACGGCGACGAAAATGTACTGACGCCAGGCGACGCTATTTCAATAATAGAAATGACATGTCATCCAAAGCTATATTGTATTTTGTTTACCTCGACCGCCGAAAACAGGTGACCGATTACATTCGCCGAATCGCGGCCCCAGATGACGTAATCCACAAATATTTTGCCAATAGAGATAACAAAAAAAAAAGATCTTTGGAACAATTTAAGAAAAACATAAGTGACACAATATAATTTTGTTATTCAATAATATTGAAAAGTCGTCTTAACGACCCTAAATAGGGATTTTTATTCTATGACGTCATGTGTGCCAAAAGTTTTCAAGAGTAATTATAACAGTGGAATACACCTACCTCTATTTGTAACTTGTTCGCCATTTCTGTCGACATTTAATTGCTACCATATCCCATACTCTGTACCCGGTGATCTATATACTCTGTGCGCGGACGGCTTCTCGACCCAACAACTTCATTTTGACGACAGACATCACGTTCAGCAACCTTGGCGAGATTCTGTCCTTGAGCCTTGTTTATGGTCATCGCAAACGCCGGCCGGACAGAGAATTACCGGCGCTCCCACAGGAAAGGAAAAGTATCATCCGGAGGGCGAGGGGTGATGCGTGGCAGGGAGACCTGCCTGCCACGCTGCGGGCCGTTGGCGACGGTAGCCTCGATCAGGCGTCGTCCACTGATGACGCGGCGAACGATCAGTCGCGAGCCATTGCACAAACCCTCCGCCGGGCTGAGATTGCGCGGCATCATTATCGGCATGCCCGGCTTCAGGGAGAGCAGGTGCGGCGGAAATCCAGGAACGCAGAGTGTGTTCAGGTACTCCGCTGGTACCTGCAGCTCCTCCTCGTCCCCCACCATGGCGTCAGCGCTGGCGAGCTGTCTCACTTCTCCCGGAAATATCTCAGTCGCCATGCTGTTGATGAGGTCGCTCGGCCGGCCACAGCAGAGCTCCGCAGTGCTGGCAGACGCGATCCCTGTCGCCGATGGTGTTGGACGGCACGACCAGCTCTCCGGATAGGACGTCGGCGACGTGGCGCGCCTCCCGGGACGGCGACTGGGCGCGGCGTTGTCGGCGGCGACGGTCTGCTCTGTCCCGATCACGTTCACGGTTCGCCTCGTCCAGCTGGCGCTGTTGCTGCCGCTGGCGCCCCCCCCCCCCCCTCGCGGTTCGCCTCGTCCAGCTGGCGCTGCTGTTGTCGCTGGCGCTCCCGCTCGCGATAGTCGTCTTCACGCAGCTGACGGAGGCGCTTGCGTCGGCTGCACGTTGCTCCTCGTCGGCTTCCCGCTGCGCTCTGCGTCGCTCCAGCTCGGCCTGGTGCCGTTCTTCGGCACGTCTCTCCCTGAGCCGTCGCATGCGCTCGGCAGCCCGCCGGCGGTCGGCCGCTGTTGGCGGACCCGCCCGCGGCATGGCGGAAAGCCACTTTGGGTCTGAAATAATCGTATCTTTATTAATTTAAATTAATTCAAAGATTATTTGCACCTGACATAAATGACTATTGACATCTCTTATTTTTTTGCGGATAAAGGACGGGTGGTATGACATTGTTACAACTGTAGTCAAACTTGGAGTTTATATTTTCTCCCTGGCTGGTGAGCTTGCTGCGCAAGGAACATGTTATTTTCTTTCACCACCACCAAACGTCATCACACAAACGGCAAGGTAATCTGATTGCGGGTAATAGGTCTTTAAGACTTTTGATTAATTGGATTCAGACCTAGTGAATGAATCCAATACACGCTCATTATGACATGGGTATTACTTATTTAAATAAAGACTTTGGTAGGTTCCATAGCAACGTCTCTTTAACATGTACGTTCATGTGAAGCTTTGGGTCTGAAATAATCGTATCTTTATTAATTTAAATTAATTCAAAGATTATTTGCACCTGACATAAATGACTATTGACATCTCTTATTTTTTTGCGGATAAAAGACGGGTGGTATGACATTGTTACAACTGTAGTCAAACTTGGAGTTTATATTTTCTCCCCGGCTGGTGAGCTTGCTGCGCAAGGAACATGTAATTTTCTTTCATCACCACCAAACGTCATCACACAAACGGCAAGGTAATCTGATTGCGGGTAATAGGTCTTTAAGACTTTTGATTAATTGGATTCAGACCTAGTGAATGAATCCAATACACGCTCATTATGACATGGGTATTACTTATTTAAATAAAGACTTTGGTAGGTTCCATAGCAACGTCTCTTTAACATGTACGTTCATGTGAAGCTTACTAAGGCTGTTGCTATGACTGTTTATGTCTTTTTTTGCAATTCATATTCCTCAATATCTTTATTCAGTAGCTTACATTTCCTTATTGCGAATATTACATTTTCCAAAGATATATTAGAAATAACTTTTAAATGATAATCTACTTGCATACCTATGTATAGCTTGTTATATTCCGAGCGTATGCTCCGGGGAAATATCGTTATTTAAACATTTATTCCGGTTGTATATTTTATATACCCGATTCTGTATGTATATCTGGTTATATATGTACGTCCGCATGTAATATCCGGTTATATTCCAAACACAACACAAAACACATTTATTTATTTCGCACCAAGTCGGTACCTATACATGATAAGTTAGGTCAACATAATATCACATTCATCATAACCAAGTTTATTAAACAAAAAATACGGGCTGAAATTGTACAAAATATAAGACAGGCGCTAGAGCAAAAGCTAACTCAAAGCGCCTTGTCTGAATGACATACATAAACAAATGTAAACACGGCAGCGGCCGCCGCCACGGCACAGCTCACCAGCAGTTGAAGTCGCCGCTCGCCCGCCGTTCCTCTCCGGAGATCGAAATGGAGTTCCATCGAAATAGAAGCTACAGGCCGAGCAAAAGGTGAAAAATTTAACCTTGAGCAAATCTCTTTGATGCAATTAAAAAGTTTTGAAAATTCAGGGCCACTGCCATGCCTTCACTGCTGTTGAGATCGCTGCCGTAAATTAGAATGTCATGTTGCTGCTTTGCAGAGAGTCGTCTAAAGTCTGTTTTTAATGTTTGCGATAGATTATGTAATAGATCGTTACGTTCGGATGTTTATTACGCGTGTTGCTATGTGGCCCAGGAGCCGGGTTGAAAGGGGAGTGGTCAAACACCTCCCAGCCCGGCGCGTTTGGCGCCGAGCACCGGTCCGGCGCGGGTTAATTTTTAGTAGCCGCTGGGGCTCCTGGCTGGCTTGCTGACATTTATGTCATTGGATTGCGCGCTTACGACTGGCGAATGAGGGCGACTGTGTGTTAAAGGGACTATCCCACCTTTAACATGGGGTTTGAGTTGAGATAGCCAAGTTTGCGGCGAGGTTCAGAAACCACTATCTATCTAGGTTGCAACCCCCGCGGCCTCTTGGTGTTGAAGAAATTCGTTCCCTTCATTTGAAAATGGGCCTTGTGCAAGGCCCTATCTTCAACATGGAGCGACCGTTAGTGTGACGTCACCTCGTTTAGTCATTCTGATTTAAATGGGTTTGTTCGTTGAAAAATCGCTTAAAACTTGGTCGGTGCCTACAGAGTAAAAAGAATCAGCTTTATGACAGTAATGTGGCCTGGGGAAGGAGGTAATTTTGGGCTGTGACGTCACATATTTGAAAGTTTGTGTTTGGAATATGGGAAGCCTAAGATGTTTAATGAAAAATAAATGCCAGAACCGTGTTCCTGGTCATCCAATCTATAAAGTCGGGCACAATTTAACTGGTTTTAACAACATTTTAGAAGGTGGGATAGTCCCTTTAAGGCCCTATATACCAGCTAGGGCGTCGGGCGATTCTACCTGATCGTGACGTCAGTCCATGACGTCATCTGGGGTCAAGTCTTGAAGTCCCGTACAAGTTCCATGTAAATGGGAGATTTTTGAAGCGTTGTAGAAAATACCTGATGCCTGATACCTGATAAGATAGGATTAGGAAGGCTCTGTGGCGTGGTCGATCCTCTCTTGAGCTCCCAGCTTTTTGAATTATATGACCATTTTGATCACTGGCTGGCTTGCATTAATCTGGAGCCTCGTATGCCAGATTAATTCAGTGCTTGTCCAGTCTATGCTTGAAGGCATTCACAGATGGGGCGCCAGGGGCGGATCCAGGAAAACTTCAAGGGGAGGGTCATGGATCGGAGTGGTGCCCCTACCTATACCCAAAATTAAAAACTCAACGGATTTCGGCCACTTTATTTTGGTGGTGCCCCATTTTCAGGTTTTTTTTTATTTTTTTTGTCAGTGCCTTCGCAACAACCAAATTTGCCAATTGTAAGTAAGTAAATATGAATGTGCGATGCGTATATAGCTGTGGACACCACTAAGTACTCACCAGGGTCGTTATCGGGTAGGCAAGTCGTTGTCAGTTTAACTACCTTGGTCCTGGCAGTGGCGTCAAAAGTCGTACTCTTGATCTGTAAAAAAGTTGGAGAAAGCATCACCTGTTATTGTGGAAATAACATCAGATGATCAGGGTCAGCCATATGTAGCAATAAGCAGCAAACACATTAGAATACCTAGCTAGTAATAAGAACAACCAACGTTAAACGTAAATAGCTTGCACGTGTATTTTCGAGTGTAAACAACGCTATTGCAGCAGAATTTAAAGAGAAAGGATGATCATCACTCCATTGCCTTTAAACATCAGAGCCATTGACTGTGGCTACCACTGAAAATAAAAATGATGCATTACATCCTTATTGCAAAGATCTTAACTGGTTCCTGTTCGAAAGTTTGACGCATTTAAGTTGTATAATCTGCAGACTCGGTACTCACTAGATGGATGTATTCCAATGGACGAATCGTTCCCAGATCGACGAAGTTGGCCCCAAACTCGCCGAATCTTGTAACGGTGGTGCGGCGGTCTCCTCCGGTGCTTGCATTGCATCGAGACCAACGCGCTGACTTGATTAATCAAACGTCTCCGCTGCTCAGCCGCTCAGCTGCTCAGCCGCCCAGTCTGTCCTACGTCAGTCGCAGCCTCCTGTGCGATTTCTGTGGTAGGCGTCGAGGATCGCAGCGGGTGATGGCACCAGTTCTGGGTGAATTTGCATGAGTGCCAGTGCTGTGAGCCGCTCCTCGCCCATCGTGCTCCTCAGGTACGATTTTAGCTGACGTACCGTGCTGAAACTTCTCTCGGCCTCAGCCGACGTCACAGGGAGGACTGCTGCGATTTCAAACAGCCTCCAGATCGTAGGGAAGTGTTCCCTTGGGCACCGCGCGATAGACTGCAGAACGGTCGATGGGGCGTCTTCCTCTTCTGAGTCTTTCCACAGCCGAATCCAACGGTCCGTCTCGAGCCTCAGTGATGCGGCGGTGTAGTCGAGCACTCCGGCGTTGCCGTACCGCTCACACACCTCGCGCAGACGGCCGGGGTCGACAGTCCCACTCCCAGCCTGCTGGAGCTGACGGGGAACCAGCAAGCTGATTCTCATCGCTCGCTTTGTATGGTCCGAGAAGCGTGCCTTGAGCTCTTGGATTGTACAATCCAGCATTGGAACGAAAATTGACACGCGGAAGAACTCCTCCGCCGAGTCTGTCTGGTAGTTCTCACGGTGCCTTTGCCTTTTAACAAGGCGTTTGGGCTGTTTGACATCGATGTCGTGGCGCATGGCAGTTTCTTGCACATGATCGAACAGAGTTTTGAAAGCCTCTTCTGCTTTTTCTCGTCGATTCTCCAGACTCTGTTGGGCGGTGTGGACTAGTCCGATAGCCTGGACGGCGTCTTGGTTCCTTGCTTGCAACTGTATGGACAGAGGGCGCACGACTCCCCCGATATCTGCCGCTACATGGAGCGAGACAAGGAACTCGAGGTTCCTCACGGAAGCCAGGAGCCTCCTCGCCTGGGCTGCTGACGACGCGTCCTGCCAGTTGCCGATGGCCTCCAGCGCCTGTAATACGTTCAACGGTACACCACGTGGTATCACATTCACCTCACCATAAACAATTCAAAAGTTTGTTTTGCATTGAATTTCCGAAGGTGTTCAGCCAGCTCATCGCCTCATCTAGTTGCTAGGCAACTCGCAGTTGAAACCAAAGCGATGCAGTTTTGTGGCACGCTGCCTGGCAATCTGCTGCAAGAGAGCATCACACTGGTTTGTTGCGTTATGTCGAACAGCACTGATATATTTTGAGCGCGAAGCAGGAGAGACAAAAATGACTCTGATGTTACGTTATCTTTGATTGAAAGATTTTACTAAATTAAAACTCATGTTCATTCTTATACAACACTATGGTATTATTTCTTCGTCAACTGTAATCATAAAAAAGACAAGCTTGAATCTGAATGCCTTGGGTCTGGCAGGCGTAAAGTGTCCAAGCTGGGCCGGTGATGCCGTGACCGTGTCCGTGGCAGACCTGTGGGCTGTGGTGCCCCAGCGGTCCAGCTAGGCCGGTTGTGCCCCTGACAGGCCTGTAGTGCCTGGTCTCTGGTCTGGTCTGTGTAGGCCTGTGGGGACTTGTGCCCCTGCTAGGCCGGCGGCCGCTGGTGCCCCTGGCCTGGCAGGCCTGCGGTGCCCCTGGAAGGACTGTGGTGCCCAGCTGGCACTTGGCAGGCCGGTGGACGGCCGTGCCCCTGGCAGGCCTGTGGTGCCCGGTGCCCCTGCTTGGCCTCTGGTGCCCCTGACAGGCCTGTGGTGCCCCTAGGCCATGACAAGCCTGAGGTACCCCTGACAGGCTCGTGGTGCCCTTGCTAGGCCTGTGGTGCTCTTAGCAGTTGTGTGGTGCCCCTAGCGGGTCTGTGGTACCCCTGCCAGGCCGCTGGTGCCCCTGGGGCCCGACAGGATTGTGGTGTCCCTGACAAGCCTGAAGTGTCAAAGACAGGCCCGTGGTGCCCCTGCGAGGCTGGTGGTTCCCGGGGCCCCTGGCAGGCCTGTGGTGCCCCTCCCTGGGACCCTGCTAGGCCTCTGAATTGATGCCCCTGACAGGCCTGTAATGCCCCTGATAGGCTCGTGGTGCCCCTGACAAGCGGCCGTGGTGCCCTTGTTAGGCCTGTGGTGCCCCTGCTAGACCACTAGTGCCCCTGGGCCCCGACAGGACTGTGGTGCCCGCCCCTGACAAGCCCGAAGTGCCCCCGACAGGCCCGTGGTGCCCCTGACAGGCCCCAGGTGCCCCTTCGAGGCCGGTGGTGCCCCTTCTAGGCCTCTGGTGCCCCTGACAGGCCTGTGGGCCCCTGGGCCATGACAAGCCTGGGCCCTGGGGTGCCCCTGATAGGCTCGTGGCGCCCCTGACAGGCCCGTGGTGCCCTTGTTAGGCCTGTGGTGCCCCTGACAAGCCCTAAGTGCCCCCTGACAGGCCCGTGGTGCCCCTGGCAGGCCCAAGGTGCCCCTGCGATGCCGGCGGTGCCCCCACGAGGCCGGTGGTGCCCCTACGAGGCCCGTGGTGCCCCTGGCAGGTCTGTGATGCCCCTTCTAGGCCTCTGGTGCCCCTGACAGGCCTGTGGGGCCCCTGGGCCATGACAAGCCTGAGGTGCCCCTGATAGGTTTATGGTGCCCCCGACAGGCCCGTGGTGCCCTTGTTAGGCCTGTGGTGCCCCTGGCAGGCCTGTGGTGCCCCTGGCAGGCCTGTGGTGCCCCTGCTAGACCACTGGTGCCCCTGGGCCCCGACAGGACTGTGGTGCCCCTGACAAGCCTGAAGTGCCCCTGACAGGCCCGTGGTGCCCCTGCGAGGCCCGTGGTGCCCCTGGCAGACCTCTGGGGCCCCTGGCAGGCCTGTGGTGCCCCTGGCGGGCGTCTGGGGCTGTGGTGCCCCTGATGGGCCGGTGGTGCACCTGACAGGCCTGTGGTGCCCCCGGGAGGGCCCAAGGGGGGCCATGACCCATGTGACCCCCCCCCCCCCTTGGATCCGCCCCTGTGGGGCGCACACCACACCACGTCCTCAGGCAACGAGTTCCAATCATTGACGACTCGCGTGGTAAAGTGGTTGATGCGTGTCCTTGATGAAGCCTGAAGCAGGGGGATGTCGTCCCGGTTTTTCACATGTATTATTCGCCAATCAGCTTGACACTACCGGTGACGTCACTGGTGGACCGCCAATCGGGGCCGGCCGGCCGGGCCCGTAGAAGGCCAAACGCAGACGTTTTCAGAAAAGCGTAAGCCGTATAGATACAGTCGTGGATGGAGTTTTGCTTGATTCGGCTCTCCAAGAGTGCGTCAGGGTACCAGGACCCGGACAAAGGTCATAGTGAACCGGCATCTGATAAAATCCGCTCACCACTTAGCAGCCGACTTCGACCCTTCACCCTCGTAAAACACAAAAGCTTGCCGGTCATCAATCCACCTGCATCTCTGCATCTGCTTACTACCTATATCGACCAGTTACTACAGCCGTTTTGGAGCGGCTCACGGCCGTAACACACCGGGCGTGCGCTACCCGCCGGTGCTAAGCGCTAACCATTGAGTGCGCGTGGCCGACTGCGGCCCCGATGGCGCTGGCCCCCGGCATCGGCGCGGCGCTGCTGACCCATGGAGGGGGGGGGCTGCTTAAATTAGTTGAGCCGGAATTAGGATAAAAGCCGGTATGGGATGGACATAGAAGCTCAGCGAGACTAAGGGATTGTGTGGTGCCCTCGGTAGGCCCTCAAAATCACCCGTGTATGGCCCTCAGGGCCGCCGGTTATGAAGCCTTTGGAGGCACTGGTGTGGGCCCTCACAGGTACCGGTGTGAGGCTCTCAGAGGCATTGGTGCGGGGTCCCCAGAGGCGCCGGTGAGGGTCCTCACAGCTGCCGTTGTGGGCCCTCAGAGACACTGCAGTGTGGGGTCGTCACAGTCGGGTGTGGGACCCTTAGAGCTGCTGGCTCGAACCCTTCACAGGCTGACAGGGGCTCTCAGAGACCGACAAGGGGCTCTCAAGAGGTCTGCGGTGCCTTCGGGAGCCCTGTGGAGTCCTTAGAGCCCAGCAAGGTGCACTCAGACGCCAGTGGGGCCCTCAGAGTTGTCGGTGTGGGGCCCTCAAAAGTCACCGGTGAGTGGCCGTCCGATGCGCAGGTCCTGTCTGAGGCCGTCAGAGGCTCCAGCGTTGAGCCCTCAGAACCGCCGATCTATGGCCTTGAAGCACTGGTTCGGGTCCTCATTCAGGGGTGCCGGTTGCACTCAGAGTTGGCAGTGTGGGGTCCTCAGCTAGGCACCGGTGTGGGGCCTTCACAGCCGCCGGTGAGGGCCCTCTCAGGCGCCGTTGTGGGGACCTTCAACCATGGGTCATCGCAGGCGTGTGTGGAACCCTTAGAGCTGCTGGTCCCTGATAGGCCGGTAAGGGCCCTTAGAGGCCGGCAAGTAGCCCTCAGAGGTCGCCATTAGGCCCTGAGAAGCCGGCAAGGGGCCCTCAAAGGCCGACAAGGGACATTAAAAAGCCGGTGTGGGGCTCTTATGGAGAGAAGTGTGGCTCTTCGGAGCACATCAGATGTTCTTCCGAGTGGGGCCCTTCTGAGTCGAAAGATGCCAGCGTGGACCCTCAGCCGCCAATTGGCGTCGCAAGGCCCTCGGGCCCGAGGCCCCCTAATCCGATAGGGGCACGTGCCCCCTGCCCCCCGGGTGCAGATAGAGAATGCAATCGGCGGTGCGGGACACAACAATTGCAATCGTTCCTTCTCCCGTCGCGAGGTCGCCCATCCGACCCATATCCCATGATTCCTTAATCCCATGACTCTTATACGGCCTTGGCCTGAAGTTTTGCCGCCTTCGATGGATGCCCCCTCGTCTGTGCGGCTCGGGGCTTGCTGAAGAAGTTCTCCTTGTCCAGTCCAGTCCAATCCTCCCGCGCATCATGTTGAACATGAACATGGAGATCATGTCACCTCTTCTGCGGCGGTACTGCAGCGATGGCAGCAGTGGCGGATCCAGGGGGGGGGGCAAAATGGGCATTTGACCCCCCCAAACGGCATGATTTTAACATTACGCCTATGGACGATGCATGGAAAGAATCGATAATTTTTTATGGTTTGCCCCCCCCCCCCCAAACCTCTGAGCTGGATCCGCCTCTGGATGGCAGACCCAGCACTTCTAGCCTTTCTTGGTATGGTCGGTGTTGAAGATCTGGGATGAGTTTGGTTGCTGTTTTAAAGTCATTTTTTCCCAGGAAATTAGCTATGTATAGTTACTTTTCGGATTATTCTCTGGGATAATAATATCTAACTCACAAGTCCATATATTTCGGATGATGTTGCTCACCCTTGGTCACTGGACAAAATAAACAATTACATATATGAAAAACCACACACCAAAATTATTCCCTAGACGGGTTACATTTTTCAAAAATATATCACTTGCCAAAAAACTGACACGGTCTTTTAGCTTGCATGTTCCCCTACATAACAAGTAGTGCAACCAATCTTCTATATGGATGCTACCTATACCTGTGTATACAGAGATATATTGGACACAATAGATCAATTTGCACAACCGGGTGTATGTTCAGTTCCTATGGATTGTTCTTATGCTCATTTCGACCTATTTCTAAGGGTGAAATCCCATATTGGACTAAGGCCAAATTTTCCTACATCTCTGTTCATGTATGGATCTTTTTCTTTTATTTCTATTGCTTCGCGCACGATTCTCTTTTTCCAGTTGCTTTCACATGCCAGAGTTTTGCCTTCCATCGGGTGCATGCTTCTACCGCACTGCCTAGTGTGCCGAGCGGGTGCCGACTTTTGTACCCGCCCGTGCTTCGATGTCTTTATTATCCCAGAGAATAATCCGAAAAGTAACTATACATAGTTTGGTTGCCCTACGCTGCACGCGTTCTAGGAGCTTCCTCTCGTGACGGGCAAGACGCTCGTTTTTTCCGCGAAGCTCTAGCTCAATCAGAGGCCAAACGCGAGGGGGGGGGGGAGTCGTAACTCGTACCCCCCTTGTGCCGTCGAAGGACTCAAAATGGCCTGTGCCGGCGAGGGTTAAGATAAGGGAAAATAATTGCTCTTTTTCTCTTTATCGTCCGATACAGTCAATACGGGTAGCTTCGAAATGGTACATGTAATAGACACGATAGCTACAATTTTAGCCGACAATTGTAGTTAAATGCCAGACGATGCTGGCTTCAGTTGTTTTACAGGTCTTCCGAAACTGGTTGTAGGACGGTTTTCATTGACCTCTTGCCGGTGGATAATGTTAATATTTTCGATTAAATTTGCATCCAAACTGATCCCAGGCCATAAGGCATTCCCCCAAAACAAAAATTATGCCTACACCACTGTTGCGCTGTTTTTTGACATATGAAGTGGAGAACCTCCATGCCTGAACGAACATGGCGTGACCTTTGACTTCCAACAGATTTGGTTTCCAAAACAAACCCGTTCATGGCCATTCAGTTAATGACAACCAGTTTTTGTAATGTTTGAATATTACAGCAGTAGCAATCCAAGGCCATCTACAGGGTGACCCAGCAAAAGCAGGCCCCAACTTCCGATAGGCGTCATTTTTTTTAAGTAATGGTTTGAATTGAATGAAACTTCGGACACAACTGGTTTATTGTGTTCTAAGTACCATGTCAAAACACGAAAGCGACCGACCTCTCCTTGTGCCGTCTGGAGTCCCCCGCCTTCAAGTGGTGGACGGTGTGGGGCTTCGCCCCGACTCGGTGCGTGGACAGCGCCCGAGCCAGCCAAACGGGGGACAACCGCCCCTCCAGGGCGGATGCCGGTGGCCGACGCGCCACCGGCCGTCGTCTTCAGCTGCTCTACCTACCGGCTCGACACTCGACCGACTCGACCTCGGCAACACCTGCGGACCGGCCGCGCGCGCGCGGCTCGGTCCGCCTAACTAAGTGAACCCAGCGTCCCCCGCCATGAGCGCCGATGGCGGGGGCCCGACCGGGCGCGGCGCGCGAGGAGCCTGGGGGGGGGGGCCGCAGCAGGCGGGCCAAGAACAGACGGTACCGTCTGAACCGTCGGAACAGAAGCCGACTACTCATCGCGAGTTGGAACGCGGAAGGACTACGCCCCAAGAGGGATGAGTTCCACCGCTGGCTCTCTACCACTAAGACGGACGTTGCCGCTGTTCAGGAGGTCCAGCCGGCTGCCGGCCAGCCCATCACCATCCCGGGCTACCAGACGGCCGCGCTGGTCAGGAGGGCGCGCGGAAGGAGAGACGGAGGGCCGGCCAAGGGGGGAGGTGTGGCGATCTTCGTCCGAGACGGCCTCAACTATCAGACCATCGAGGACTCCCCTCTCCACCCGCAGGACGACACCACGAAATGGTGCGGCGTTCGGGTATTCGCCAGCCCGTCGCCCACTAGACCTCACACCAACCAAAGACCTTGTTCTGTTGCTATTTATTGCATCTACCGCCCCCCAATCAGATCATCGGGGATTGACGAGAGAGTCGACCGATTCTCCCTGGACGGCTTCCCGTCTTCGCCGGACACCTTCATCCTGGGGGACGTGAACGGCCATCACCCGGACTGGGACGCGGCGTGCCTGGAACCCGACGACACCGGTGAGAAGATCGCGGGCTGGCTAGAACGCTCACGTTGGACAGCCCTCAACAACGGAGAGCCCACCCGCGCCGGCTACGGGACCGGGCCGCTGACTGCCCCAGACGTTGCGCTCTGCCACCAGAATCTGGCGCTGCGGAGCTCCTGGTCCATCGGCTCAGATCTCGGCAGTGATCACCTCCCCCAGGTGGTCCAGACCACGACGAGCGGCGCCCGCCCACGCCGCATCAGAAAGACCAGGTGGTCCTGGCAGAAGGCGGACTGGACACAGTTTACCAGCGGCTGCGAGGCGGCCTTCTCTGCCCTGCCTCCTGATCTACCGACAATCACCCTCGCCGAGAGAGTGGCAACCATCATCATGTCAGAGAGCACGCGGGCCATCCCCCGCGGCGCTCGCGCCGACCCGAAGCCCTGGGACTGCGATCCTGAACTTATCGATGCGATCTCGGCAAGGCGAGCGGCACGGGCAGAGATGACTTCTAATCTCTGTCCTGCAACAAGAGAGAGGTGGAAAGCTGCGAAGAAGGCGGCCGCCGCAGCAGAGGAGTCGGCCAGAACCAGGACCTTCAGAGACTTTGTCTCCACGGAGCTGAACCGGCCCTCGAGCATCGGGCGCGTCTCCAAGATTCTCCGGAGGATGGAGGGCGCCGTACCTGAGTCCCGACCGGGACAGGCTATCAGCGGGGACTGTGGCAAACTTATCATAGAGGACCGCGCGAAAGCCAACGCCTTCGTCAGGACCTATGCAGCGGTCAGCAAGCAGGTCCGCTGTCCGAAACGAGACCGGCCCGTGAAGAAGGAACTGGTATCCCTGAGGGACAACGGCTGCACATGCCTCGACACTAAAGAAGAGGCGTGCGCCCCCTTCAGCATGAAGGAGATGGAAGCCCAGATCCGGGTGCTGAAGTCCAGGAAAGCGCCCGGCCCGGACCAGGTGTGCACTGAGCACCTGCGGCATCTCGGCCCCACAGCCAAGTCCGTACTGCTGCGCCTGATCAACCAGACCTGGGCAGACGCCACCATACCAAGCGTGTGGCGGAGGGCCACCATCATCCCGATTCTGAAGACCGGCAAGAACCCGCAATCCGTGACGTCATACCGCCCGATAGCCCTCACCAGCCACGCGGCAAAACTGGCAGAACGGATGGTCGGCGCTCGACTCAGCCAGATCGCCGAAGCGAGGAACCTGATTCCTGCCGAACAGGTGGGCTTCCGGCGCGGAAGATCGGTGGAGGAGAACCTCGGCCGCCTTGTGCAGACCGTACAGGACGGCTGGAACCGACCCCGCCCCGCCGGTCGCCCCACCGAGGGGAAGACGGCGGAGAAGTTCGCGCTGGTAGCGTATGACTTCAGTAGAGCCTATGACAAGATCGACCACCGCATGCTACAACTTTAACTGCTTCGTCTCCAGCTCCCACTATGCATGGTAAACTGGATCTTCCAGTTCCGTGACCGACGCGCCAGGGTGGAAGTGAACGGCTGCCTCAGTGAGGAGCGCCCCTTCAGAGCGGGCCTCCCTCAGGGTTCGGTCTTGGCACCGACCCTGTACACCCTGTGGTCGGCCGACCTGGTGAGCGACCTGAGGAGCGTCCCGGGTACCAGCGTATTCATGTACGCCGACGATACCGCCACACTGAGCGGTAGCTGCCGGATGGAGACGGCAAGAGAACGAGCCCAGATCGCAGCTGACACGATGGTCAGGTGGGCCAACAGGTGGAAGATGGTGATCGCCGGGGAGAAGACCCAGGCCCTGGTCCTCTCCCAGTGGTCCCATGACGCCAAGGACTTCCAGATCAAGGTGGCCGGAACATCGGTCAAAGGATCCCCGTACCTGAGACTCCTAGGAGTCACCTTCGACAGACTCCTCCACTTCGGGGAACACTGCAAGAACCTGCGCCGGAAAGTGAAGCCCAGGACGGCTCAGCTGAGGAAGCTGACCGGTCGCAGCTGGGGCCTCCAGGAGGCGCAACTACGGACCGTTGCCAACGGATACGTTCGGGGCGCCCTGGAGTACGCGGCAGCGGCGTGGCTCCCGGCGGCGTCTGAAGCTCACGTCGAGCTGATCGAGCGGGAGCTGCGAGCGGCGGCCCGTGCGGTCACTGGCTGCACGGCCTCGACCCCGACCGCGCCGCTGATGGCCGAGGCCGGCATCCCGCCGGCGCGAGTACCAGGCGCGGATACAAGGGGGGGGCCCATGGGGGCCATGGCCCCCCCTTGGCCGATTTTTTTTTTTCAAAAATAAAATAAAAAGCTGAAAAGGGGGCCTCCTGAAAATAAAGTGGCTATTCGTGTTGAGATGTTGCCTGAACAGCTAGATAAGCTCAATAGACGCAGTTTTTTTGGGGGGGCCAACAAGTGGGAAGATGGGGTCTCCAACAGGTGGGATTATGGGGGCCTCCTGGTTTCTAATGGCCCCTCCCTTGGAGATTTTCTGGATCCGCCCCTGGCGAGTACGATGCCCGGCGCTGGCCGCCCGCATGGTGGGCCTGGCCGCCTCGCTGCCCGGCGACGACCCGCTCCACGCCGTCGGGGAGATGCACGTCGCGCCCCGCCTGAGGACGACCACCGGATGGCGTGACGTCGCCCACCGCGCCCTGGCTTGGACAGGCGCGGCCGACGTCAAAGTGGAAGGACGCCCTACAAAGACTATCCCACCGTGGGACCACCATGGAGAAGCCGTGACGTTCTGCCTGGACGTCGGCCCCGGCGGCCAGAGAGCGGCCCCTGCGCACATACGGAGGGGAGCGGCAGAGGCCACACTGGAACATCTGCCGCCCCGCGCCACCTGGATATGGTCGGACGGCTCGGCGGAGGGAGGCGTCTCCCAAGGCGGGGGCGGTGCCACCATCACCTTCCCGTCGGGAGAGACTCGGGAGGTCCGAGTCCCAGCGGGCCAGCTCTGTTCCAGTACGCGGGCAGAGCTGTGTGCCCTGAAGGCGGCCCTGAACGCCATCCGAGACGCCGACGCCGACATCGCAGACGACCCAATAGTCATCTGCACCGACTCCCAGGCCGCCCTGAGGATGCTGGAGAGCGGCGCCTCCTCCCAGACGACTCACCTAGGGATCTCCATCTGGGAGGACCTACTCGCTTTCTCCAGCCGAGGGTCACCGATCCGCCTCCAGTGGGTCCCGGCGCACTGCGGCCTGCGGGAAAATGAGAGGGCCGATGAGCTGG